ACGGGGAACTGCTCTCCAGTCACTAATAACCTACTAATGGGCAGCCCAGAAGGAAAAGCTGACCACGCACTAGAGGCCGCTCGTGACAACGAAGTGAACTTTGCACGGAAGGAAAAAGATGATGAGAGCCGTACAAAGAAAATGGCATTCCAAGCTTCTAAGCTTCAGCTGCCTTTTGAAAACTGCTGTGCTTTAAGTCAGAAATATTCTTTTTCTATCTACAAACTTGCTTTTTTTTTTTTAAATGAAGGAAATAAATTTGGGAAAATTCATCTTAAAAAGGCAAACTAAGAAAAAAGTTAAATGTATTATTATACTTTTAAAGCAGATATGCCTTGGTACATATATATGCATATATACACACACACGTGTGTGTGTGTATATATATATAGTTTTGTTTTTTTTTATAATTTCTCTTACCTAATTGTCTCAAAGATCCAGCTCAAGAGAAGGAAGCTCTGTGTTGGGTAATTTAAGGTTGTCTTGGTGGTATTTAATTATGATTGGAAAAATAAAACAGTAAAAAATACCCAAAAATAAATTTCTGAACCCCCAGGAAACTTAAGAGTTTACCCAGAAAATATATATATAATAACATGAAGTCAGGGAAAATTCACAGACTCTTTTGATCAACAATAAGCTTTTATAAAATTGAGAGAATTATACTTTAAAAACGTATTCATTTTTTTAAAAAATTTGGCAAGAATGTTATTAAATGGAGAAATGTCTATTCAAGTCCTCTATCTTTCAATTAGGCTGTCTTTTTATTGTTGCATTTTAAGAGTCCTTTATATATTCTGGAGCCCTGGTGGCTCAGTGACTAACAGCCTCGCTGCTAACCAAAAGGTCAGCAGTTTGAATCCAGCAGCCGCTCCTTGGAAACCCTATGGGCAGTTCTACTCTGTCCTATAGGTTTGCTATGAGTCGGAATTGACTCAATGGCCATGGGTTTGGTTTTCTGGCTTATATATCTGGACACAAATACCCCAACAGACACATGATTTGAAAAATGTTCTCCCATTCTTTTCACTTGCTCATAATAATTACAATTTTTAATATATATTATAGTGCATATAATATGCCAAGCACTGGGTTAAGAGCATTACACTAATCTCACTTATCCACCAAAACAAGAAACAACAGACTCTCAGAGATTAAACGGCTTGCGTAAAGTAGCAAAACTTCACGATAGTCATGGAACTCAGTTCCAGGCAGCCTGCTCTCAGAGCCCCGCTTCTCAGCATTGTCTCCTCAAAGGTGTGCACCACACCCACACCACCCATCCACCTGCTCAGCAGCCGAACGCCTCTCTTCCCCACCTTCCTCTGCACCAGGATTTTTAAACTTTAGTATGCATCGATGTCATCTGGAGAGCTTTTCTGAAACAAAGATAGTTGGGATCCACCCACAGAGTTGAAATCAGTAATCTGGGTGCGGCTGAGAGTCTGTATTTCTAACTACTTCCCAGGTGATGCTGATGTTGCTGGTCCACCAGGAGAACCACGCTCTTCAGCCTCGGCAGAGCATTTTTACCAGCAGTCTCTCTGTCATTGTGGTTGACTAATGAACTAGCTAAAGCCCATCACTGCATATGAAAATTTAGATTTCTGGATTTCATATAGAAACCAAAGAAAACCAGTTGCCGTGGAGTCGGTTCTGACTCAGGGTGACACCATGTGTATGAAGAACTGCTCCAAAGGGTTTTCACGGCTGCGCCACTACAGAAGCAGATCGCCAGGCCTGTCTTCCGAGGCCCCTCTTGGTAGGTTCAAACCACCAACCTTTCAGTTAGCAGCCGAGCACTTAACCGTTGGTGCCAGCCAGGGACTCCTCAAGGAATATACTAACTACTCTCAGATCCCAAACCCTGTGTTGATAGTTCAGGGCTCATCGGGGTAGAATTGCCATTTGGATATTTTCTCACAAAATTTACTAACAGCACTTCTTAAATTGACTCCAGCTGTCACTCTTCTGTCCCCTAACAACAGGAAGACCACGGCTGGCTCCACTGGGATTCATCATCAATTCCAATTTCACATCCTATGACGACGTGTCAATAAACGGTAAATGCCGCTTGCGCAGTGTGGGGTTACTCTGCTTACTCTGGGTCTGATAAAACAAGATCAACATTTTATCTACAAGAAGCACACAGTAAGGACCTCAGGGTTGGGTGCGTGCGCACGGCATGTGCACTCATGTAAGTGTGCAAAGGGACCACTGCACAACTTTAAAACAATCAACGTACGTGTCACATCCTGTGATTTCTCTCAACTATAACTTCTTATTTCAGTGGTCTGAAAACACGCTGGGATAAACCCAAAAAAAACGGGAGCAAAAAAGTATGAGCTATTATACTAAATAGAACCCTGGTGGCTCAGTGGTTAAGAGATAGGCTGCTAACCGAAAGGTCGGCAGTTCGAATCCACCAGCTGCTCCTTGGAAACCCTACAGGGCAGTTCTAATCTGTCCTATAGGGTCTCTAGGAGTCAGAATTGACTCGACGGCAATGGGTTTATTAACAAGTCCGAAAACAATTCTTTTTTTTTTTTTAGGTAAAATTAAAAGAGCCCTATGTTACTCAAAACTCTTGATAAATGATCTGGGTTTCTCTGAAAAATCATGTGAAAGTAATTTATTTCAGGAGGCTCCATCCTCTAAGCAGGCAGGGAAAAGGGGTTTTGTCAGAAGCATACTTTATGAAATAGAATCACCATAAACAACAATACCCCTGATTAAATTCAGTTGTAAACTGACTTCCTGCAGCTGCTTAAAACGATCTCCGTCTGAAAATTTATTTTGACTCCATGCAGGATCTGACAAACAGCACCTTTGCAAATACATTTCCCCTCCTCCAATCACCCAAATCAAAATTATGAAGAGCTGTGCGTGGGTAAGTCCGAGATCTCTGATTTATGGCACTTGATAACCAACAGCCTGAAATATACCACTGAACTAATCCAATCAGAATTCCAGACAAATTCGCCCTCCCAGTTTGCTGTGCAGAGTTCTTTAGTGCTGAGCTTCATGCTGTAAATTCTCTTTTAAATGTGCTAATCATCTTTACCTTCCATCATTTTGATTCAAAGACCCAATAATATTGATATGCTTACAGACTTCGTAGTTTGATTGCATAAATAATGTTTAAGAGAAACTTACAATGCTACGAATAATCACTGCTTAATTCCAGACTTTTCTTGGAAGTCTAAACCCGAAGGTCTTTAGGATTCCTTAAAGTTCACACAAATCTCCTTTCAGTATATGGTTAAAAAACAAACTGATTCTGACTCCTGGTGACCCCATCTGGTACAGAGGAGAACTGCTCCACACGGTTTTCTTGGCCGTAATCTTTATGGAAGCAGATCACCAGGCCTTTCTTCTGCAGTGCCACTGGATGGGTTCAAAACGCCAATTTTTAGTTTAGTCGTCCAGCGCAAACCGCTTGCGCCACGCAGAAAGCTTCTATGTGAAACCAGACTTGTTGACCACGCCATGAAATGCCTGAAGGGTTAAAATAAACCCCAACCACTGAGAAACTCCAGCCACAGTAGGAACAAAGCAGTTATCACATAGATGGGAGGTGCTCAACCCATTCAAAATAATGTAGAAATGTGTATTTTTCAACAAGCATTCTAGATGGTTCTTAGGAACAAGAACATTTGATCATGACAAGAATACATTTGGGAAGCACTGCTTAATCGATATCTTTCAATGCTCTGGTTCGTATGATGATTTTTGTGAGCTGCACCTATCATTAGGTAGATGGCACTCCGGGCCAGGTGCTCACGAGCAAGCAGGGTCGGATTCATCACTGAGGGCTCACGGGCGCCATGCTCTTAGCTGAACTGGCTGAACTGCCCCTCCTTACAACACACATCGGAGCGCTTATCACACGTTGTTCACGTCAGGCCTTAGCGAACACGCGCCGAGGAATGCCACACATTTAACTGCCCCGCAGGCTGGGATCTGCTCTTGTACAATGCACCCAGTCCCTGAGACACCAGCGTTCCCTCCAGAGGCAGTGCCTCCGCAAGCCAACTGAGACAGGCGCTTTCCAAAAGCAGCTCCAAGATTACGAGTCTGAAGTTAAAAATTCTGATGCCACAAACAGAAACATCTCATTTCAAAAATGCATACATTTAACCCATACCTAGGGCACGCGCCATCATTCTATGCGTATTTTTAGTATCACGGAGGTGACTTTTCAAACTATAAACATTGCAATACATTTAACAACACGTACCATAGAGACAGAACTCATTTCCTAGCCAGTCCCCTTGTATCTACGCTATAAACTCTTACATTTGCCAAGGGGTTGGACTACAGACATCTTAGCAATGAGCTGAATTTTCCATCTGTTTCCATCAAACATATTCTCTTATCTAAAAATACCTCCACATGCAAAGATCAGAAAAACCAGACAACACAGATACCAAATCATTAGCAAATAAACGACGTATAAATAAAAGAGATATATGTGAGCATAACTGAGAAGTAATTAACTCAGAGTAAATTACACTGGGCCTTACTCAACACTAATATAAAAATGTCACATGTTCTAAAACAGAATTTATAGTCCGTTTATATGAGATCAGTTATTCATTTAACCTGTCTGAATAACAACTCAAACTGCCATCTGGTTTTATTTTAACCAATGTTCAAAGTCCTCACTAACGTAGCTACTTGATAATTCTACTTAATGAGGATCCTGAAGTAGCAGAATAAGACTTTTAAAAGCAGGAATATGATTGGCCTCTCTCTGCTAAGAGGTCTCATTCCGCGCAGAGAAATACCACAACATGGCCAAGCAGCCCTGTCCTCAAGGGGGTTTTCTGTGACAGAAACAGTGGCCCATCACTAAGCCACTTACTCCGAGGGTCGCTGTGTGTCAGAAGGGGCTCGACAGCCCACAGCGGAGGCAGCAGCCCACTTCCCAGGAAGACGAGCAAGGCAGAGGGAAGCGCGGACATGTGGTGTAGGGGCGCTACCTAAAAGCAACCTACCTTTTCCGTTCTCCTTCAGTGACGTCGTACAAGCGGTTGGCACCTCCGTCAGCACAGGCTTTTAAAACAGCTTGGAACAGAAAAAACAAAGAGCGTTTCAATACCAGAAGCTTCCAGCACTGTTTTTCAAGTGGTAAACATTAAAGAGCAGGCCTGCACGCACACACGTGTGCACACACTCACGCTCACTCCTTGGACTCCCAGGGCTATACACAGTACTCCAGCCTACAGGACAGCCCTGCACTGTGAAGGTCTGTTTGCTTTTACGTCTCTTTCAGCCCCTCTGCTTAACTGACAGAGAGGGTGTGTGGGGGCCGGCATGGCGGTTTTCTTCCTTTCTAACAGGACTTAGTTCTCATGCTCAGGGACCGGAAACAGGATATAGTTATAACATCATAAAAATTTTGTTCCTTTGTTTTATTAATTTTTACAGGTACTTTCTACACATGGCAGGTATTACAGGTTCTGATAATTTACCATAACATAAACTGATGAAATATCATCTGTGGGGACCTTTCCTGGATTTCCCCCACCCATCATGAGATGTCTCATAAAAGTCCCTGAAGAAGCGTGGTCCCCCCATCAGGGGACCTAAAACACTTACAGAAAACCTCACCTCTACCCACCACCCAGCTTTAGAAATGTCTCTAGTGAGCCTCTCTGGTAATAAACATCTGATGATGTGCTTATTAAACCAAAAAACCAAACCCACTGCCATCGAGTCAATTCTGACTCAAAGCGACCCTATAGGACATAGTAGAACTGCCCCACAGGGTTTCCAAGGAGCAGCTGGTAGATTGGAACTGCCAACCTTTTGGTTAGCAGCCACGTGCTTTACCACTGCACCACCAGGGCTCTGATGTGCTTATTAGCTGAGTATAATATTATAAACTGGCAGTACCTTTGACCATGCTAGTCCATTAGCTGATGGCTTCCACCGTCACAATGGCCGATGGCTTTGGCTTCCACTGTTATGTTGTTACATTGGCTTATAGCTTCCATTGTTACAGTGATATTTTTAGGAAAGCTGCTGTCAGTTATTATTTTTCATAGCAAATCTGTCTTCATTCACTACATACTTTTTACTTACATAATAGTATTTTATTGTGTTTTCAGTGAAGATTTACCCAGCAGCATAAGTTCCCATTCAACAATTTCTACACAGATTGTCCAGTGACATTGGTTACATCCTTCACAACACGTTAACATTCTCATTATTTCCCTCTGGTTGTCTATCACCATCTGCGTTTAAGATCTTCCCTTTTTCACTAGTGTTCTTAATTTCACCACCATTTAACTTACCACTTAACTTACTTGGGAGCCCTGGTGGCGCAGTGGTTAAGTGATACGGCTGCTAACCAAAAGCTCAGCAATACAAATCCACAAGCTGCTCCTTGGAAACCCAATGAGGCAGCTCTACTCTGTCCTCTAATGGTCGCTATGGGTCGGAATCAACTCCATGGCAACGGGTAACTTACTTGGAATTAACTGTTTCCTGAATCTTATGATGTCTCTCTTTGGTGCAGGGTTAATTCTTTAAAAAAAATATAATAATGAAGCGATATGCTGCCAAGTTGATCCCAATTCATAGCGTCCTTTTGTGTGTAGAACTGTCCTCCATACGGTTTTCAATGGCTACTTTTCAAAAGTAGACTGCCGGTCCTTTCTTCCAAGTCACACCTGGGTGGGCTCAAACTTCTAACCTTTTGCTTAGCGGCCGAGTACATTAACCATATGCACCACCCAACAACTCCAGAAAATTCTTAGCCATCATCGACTAATCAGGTGCTGTCTTCCATTCTCTCTCTGCTTCTCTTGAAGCATACTTTTCGACAGTCTCATTCTGTCTCTCTTAAATAATGTTTTATTACTGTCATCTCTTCTTTCTACATATGTGGGTGATTTCTTCACATCTCTTTTTCAGTGTGCGAAGTCTCTGTCTTTAATTATCCCGAGTCAGATTTAAAACATTCACATTTATAGCTTTGTAGATTAATTTTAAAAGAAATAGTATTTGCTTCTTTGTCAATCTCGATGTTTTTTCTGCAATCTACTTCAGCTAAGATCAGTGTTAACTCTTACCAATCCAATTTTTTTCTCATGCCTATTATTCCTAACCATTTTGGTCTTTTCTTTGTTTCCTGTCTTTTTAATAACCTTTTTCTTTTCCAAATGTATGATGTCCTTGATGTCATCCCACAACTCATCTGGCATTCATTCAATAGTTTTCAGGTGAGATACACTCAAGGTCATATTTTGGGTGTCATGGACTTGTTTTAATTTTCTTCAGCTTCAATTTGAATGTGCATATGAGTAATTAATGGTCTGTTCTGCAGTCAGCCCCTGGCCTTTTTCTCACTGATGATACTGAGCTTCTCCATCATCTCTTTCCAAAAATGTAGTTGACTTGATTCCTCAGTATTCCATCTGACAAGGTCCAGGTGTATAGTCATTGTTTGTGTTGTTAAAAAAAGGTATCTGCAATGAATAAGTCATTGGTCTTGCTTGCAAAATTCTATCCTGAAATCTCTGGCATTGTTTCTATCACCAAGGCCATATTTTTCAACTACCAATCCTCCTTCTTTGTTTCCAACTTTCACATTCCAATCGCCAGTAGTTATCAATGAATCTTGATTGCATGTTTGAATAATTTCAGACTGGAGAAGTTGGAAAAATCTTCAATTTCTTCATCTTTTGCTGTAGAGGTTGGTGCGTAAAGTTGAATTAACAGTTGTATTAACTGATCTTCTTCGTAGGCATATGGATATCATACTATCACTGACAGCGTTGTACTTTAGGACAGATCTTGAAACAATCTTTTTGACAATGAATGTGACATCCTTCCCTTTCAATTTATAATTCCTGGCATAGCAGACCATACGATTTTCCAATTCAAAATGGCCAATAACAGTTCACTTCAACTCACTCATTCCTAGGACATCTATCTATATGTGTTCCATTTCATTTCTGACAACTTCCAATTTTCCCAGATTAATACTTCCAACATTCCATGTTCCAATTATTAATGGATGCTCACAGCTGTTTCTTTTCATTTTGAGTCATGCCACATCAGCAAATGAAGGTCCTGAAAGCTTGACTCCATTCACATCATTAAGGTCAACTCTGGGGAGGCAGCTCTTCTCCGGTTGTATTTTGAGTGCCTTTCAACCCGAGGGGTTCATTTTCTGGGCACTTTATCAGACCATGTTCTGCTGCTATTCGTGTTTTTCACTGGCCAATTTCTTTTAGAACTAGACTGCCGGGTCCTTCTACCTAGTCTGTCTTACTCTGGAACCTCCACTGAAACCTGTCAACCATGGGTGGCCCTGCTGGTATTTGAATGTAGAGCAGCTACAGTGAAT